AGAAAGAAAGCAAGAAAGCAAGAAAGGAAGAAAGGAAGGAAGAGAGAAAGAAAGCAAGAAAGGAAGGAAGGAAGAAAGCAAGAAAGAGAAACGAAGAAAAGAGAAGTTGGGAACAGAGGGATAGAGAGAGAAAAGACACTGAAAATCTGCACAATGACTGCTGTAGAAACCCCCCCCAAAGAAAACAGTAGGAAACCACGGTAACAACCAACATAATCATAAGTAACAGTAAATAATACATATAGAATGTTACTGAGCAGCATACACGACTAGTAATGCACGATATGTTTACAGGCAGCAGCCAACCAAGATAGCGTGTGTGTCTGTGAGTACCTGTTTGTACACCTGTGTGTGTGAGCACGCTTGTATTCATAAGGTTTGTTCATGTAAGTGTCCAACAATAGGTTTGGGGAGCCATAGCCCTGCCCCCCAGGACATGAAGCAGGCATGGAGGAGATCCAGGCCCCAGGCATCTACAGATCCCCCAGAGCATGACAGCAATGATCATGACACTTTGCATATTAATGATCAAGGAGCTGACCTCACAGCCCATTGTTCATTCATTGGTGCTGGTTTTAGTCATTGTGTAAATGTACTTTTTATAAGGTTGGAAACCTGCAGTCAGCTGAGACTGAAGACGTCACTTGGATGAGTGACGAAACGTTTCTCCCACTGAAAACGTCCAGATGAACAGAATCTGGTTTTCCATCGGTGTGTGAATGTTGTTAGTTTGCACTTGAGTTTAGAAGTGCATGTATAAATGTGTGAATTAGGCATGTTGTATACAGTGCTTTGAGTACTCCGGGAGAGTAGAAAAGCACTATATAAGAATGAGTCCATTTAACTTTCTGGGACAGAATACTCAAATGCTACTTACACTGGACAAAGCAGAAAAAAGTCAGAAAATACACATGTTGATCTTAGATAAAGCTTCTGGTTCTGAAAATCTACCTTGCAGTCATGAAGTCAACCATGAACTACAATTTGTTCATGGGACGCCATCTGTCTGACAGCAAAACTTTTGGTCATGCATCAGGACAATGATCCCAAGCACAACCGCAAATATACAACAGAATGGCTGAAAAAGAAACAAATCAATATGATGCCCAATGAATGGCCCAGACTCATTCATGAATGAAATGTTGTAGTGGGAC